CTCTCTCTCTCTCTCTCTCTCTCTCTCTCTCTCTCTCTCTCTCTCTCCCTCTCTCTCTCTCTCTCTCTCTCTGTGTTTGTGTGTGTCTGTGTGTGTGTGAGTGTGTGTGTGTGAGTGTGTTCTTTAAAATGGCTGCCTTGGCACAAACACCTATTAAAAATATCACTTTGGCCAGAAAATTGGAGATGGCTTTTACGAGTGAAACTTTTGCTTTTCAGAACTCTGATAAACCTGTCTATTTATCTGGATAAAAAAAAAGAAATGAAAAAAATTTTTTGAGTTTTTTTTTTGACTCATAACACATAATATTTGAATACATTATTATATAATAAGTATTTTATTTTAATAAAATATGACTGTGTGGAAGAAACACGCCAAAATTATTTGCTTTTGAAATGCCTATAAGTATGATATACCCAATACTTATAATTTGAAGCAATACATTTAGTAGCGGAATGCTAAAGAAAATTATGCCAAAGAGTGAGTACCATTATGAATTAATTAGAATATATGCTCAGCCAAACTCTATGAGAAAATATTTGTGTCTACTTTAGATAGTTTTAACACTTTTCTTAAATTTCTTCAAGAAATCTGGCTTCTCCAATATAATCCAAGAATAATGACAAAAAACTATCTTGATAAATAGAATGAGCAAATAATAAGGTTTTTCTTTTGGTTTTAGCAGAGGAGGGGGAGAGAGGTAGGAAAAATTAGCTAACCAAACAGAAAAATATCACAGGATGGTTTTTATTTTCTTCTGTGGAGTTGCTATATATTTTCACATAGATAGCTATTCCCAAACTTAACCTGTATCACAAACAATTGGCTAGAGACATAGGAATGAAGCTGCAACATAGCAATCACAAATCTCACAGACTGTAGGCCTTGGGAACATTTTCCCGTTATTTTGTTATGGAAGGAGATTTTTAAAACATATTAGTGTTTTGGGATAATATCTTATTTAAATAGTAAATAATACAAAAATGAAAATATCTCTAAACAATTATTTGGAGTTTTTAATTCACATCTGGAAATTAGTCCAAAAACCATTTTTTTAAATGTTGGTTTTTGAATCTGAATCCTCTATTTTAGAGAAAGGAGAATAAAGGATTCTGGAAATTCTGCCTTACATCAGAACAAGTAAACTTAGACCTTCGAAATGTATATGCTTTTTTTTTTTTTTTCTGTTAGTTTGTATTCTATAAGCTGCTCTCACAATTTTAAATCTATGTTTTCCTTTTCATAAATGATTAGATGGTCTCCCCTTTCCCCCTGGAATAACTACAAGGCCAAGTTAGAAAATATGTATTATTTATGGCTCTGTTGTAAATTGAGCAATATCAAAATGTAGAGTCAGTCTCACTCTGTCTCTCCATCTCTCTCTCTCTCCATCCTTTTGATTTAGGCTATCTCTATGTAAACCCACATATTTTGACTAAACTCCCTGACTAAACTAATTGATTAAACAGATTAGTAACTAAATGGAAATCAAAACTATTAACAAATAGCCATACATCTATAAAAAACATGACTGGTCTTATAGAAAAATCCTACAGTTATACTCTGTGAAGAAACAATAACAACAACATATTTCTCTGAAATAATTATTCAACATATTTTCAGTTCGTAGAGCAAATCATACGTGCTTTTGCTATTGTGTCTCTCATACTAGGAAAATGAAATATGTTTGGTAATAATTAGGTATTTATATAATGGGATATTATACAAGTTTAAAACACTATTAGAAATGAGTAAATAGGTATTCTGAATTCATTTGTGCTCAAAAAGAATTTATTGAAAGTGGAAATTTATTATTTTTCATTGTCTTTACTTTTTAACTGAATTTATATTTCTCCATTTTGTGAAACATTAAAAAATGCATTCTAAAATTGATTTCAAAGACTTTCTCTCAGTGAAGAATATATATAGTAGAAATCATTAGTAAAATGAACAACAGGATTAAATGCTCTTTTAAATATGATTATAATAAATTTCTTATGCAATCATGTTAACTTATTTTTAGTCTGCAGTTAGGTATCCAATTATGATATTTAAAATGCAATGGCATGAATAAATAAATGAGTATACCCATTTGTTGATCTTATTCCCCATTATTTTGAATTTGTAAATATCATTAGTGGAAAAGAGTATCGCTCATTTTGGAAATAGCCAAACATGATTGGGGTCTACTTGACAGGGAGGGTGGGAGGAAGAAGAGGAGCAGAAAGGATAATTATTGGGTACTGGGCTTAATACATGGGTGATGAAGTAATATGAACAACAAACCCTTGTTACAAATGTTTACCTATGTAACAAACCTTCACGTGTATCTCCAAATCCAAAATAAAAGTTAAAAAAATAAATAATTATGTTTTTTTCTATTGTTCAATAACTCTACTCATACTTGTTTAATAATGATATATTGTCAAAATTTGGGATTTCTTTTTAAATATTGCAAAATACTGGTAAATATGCAACCTTTTCAAAGGTGTCTTTACCTTTAGAAAAGAAAAATGAGTAATCTTGATGAATACATTTTTTACCATAGATTCATTTGTTTAATCTTATTTTTCTCAGATGTAAGTTCGTATATAAAAGTTTATCAGATATAACCTTGTGTATCTAAAAGTTTCCATTTAAACGTGAATAATATTATAACTATATCCTTTACAGAAGTTGAGAAAGTACCTTTTCATATACAATTACTTCCAACTTTGTTAAGAGAAAAAAAAAAAAAAAAACTTCTTGAAGGAGATAGATCATGTAGCCTTGCTAAGATACTGACGTTACATTTCATCTCACAATACATTCTTATTAACAGTCAGACATCTCTTCCTGAGTTGCATATACCTCATTGTCCTGACTGGCTTAGCCTTCAGACCAAAGACAGGTATTGTTGAAACATGACCTCATTTTAGTGAAAAGAATATGTTTCTTCTTTAGGTAAGATCAAGGTACCACATACCGTCTCTTGTTTTATTCTTGCAATCAATAGGACTTGCCTTCCTAACTTTTCCACATTGCATTAACATCCTTCAAGGCTTCCAAGACTGCTTAACTTTAGAAATACGAATATATAATTCCTTAAGAATTTTTCT